CCCTCCTGCTCTCTGAACTCCTCTATTCCAGCCTGGAGCACACTCCTGCACCCAAAACCCCTCATCCCCAGCCCCACCCCAGAGCCCTCACCTCCTCCCGCACCCCAGCCCCCTGAGCCAGCCCAGTGAAAATGAGCAAGTGAGTGAGGGTGGGGAATGCGAGCGACAGAGAAAAGGGGGAGTGGAGTGAGCTGGGGCGAGGCCTTGGGGCAGGGGCAGGGCCTCAGAGGTGGGGCAAGGGTGTTCGATTTTGTGCAAGTAGCCCAGGGGTGGCCAACCTGTGGCTCCGGAGCCATATGCGGCTTTTCAGAAGTTAATAGGTGGCTCCTTGTCTAGGCACCGACTCCGGGGCTGGAGCGACAGGCACCAACTTTCCAATGTGCGGGATGGTGCTCACTGCTCCACCCCTGGCTCTGCCACAGCCCTGCCCCCACTCACCCCTTCTCGCCCCCTCCCCGAGCCTGCAGTGCCCTCGCTCCTCCTCCCCAGAGCCTCCTGCATGCCATGAAACAGCTGATCTGGAGGTGTGGGGTGGGAGAGGGAGGCGCTGATTGGTGGGACTGCTGGTGGGTGGGAGGCACTGGGAGCCGGGGGGAGTGGGAGCTAATGGGGCTGCTGACATATTACTGTGGCTCTTTGGCAGTGTATAGTGGTAAACTCTGGCTCCTTCTCCGGCTCAGGTTGGCCACACCTTGAGTAGAAAGTTGGCAACCCTACTCATAGCTGATGCCCGATGTCCTTTCTGGGCAGATCTTGGAGGACTAAATTCACTGCTCTTTTCCACCAAAAGGACATCTCCTCCGGGCAGGGGGTGCCAAGGCAGCAGGGCCTCACGTGGGGGCTAGCCAGCACCTGCTCTGCCCTGTTGCAATGTCACCTGGGCCCTCACAGCTTGTGTGATCCACCCACGTCCCAGGGTGGTTTACAAGACCCACTGAGGTTGCTGCCAGGCAGGTCCCCATGCAGCACACCAGGGCCGGGCTCTGTCACTGAACGAGCCTGAAATATTTATTAGAAACAAAGGGAATTTCCTGGCCCACAACTCCACTCCTCCTGCGTTGTGACTGGCCAGAGCTAGCCGTCGCCTGGAGAAAGGGGACTGAGACAGGGGCTGTTTAAAATGAAAGCTGAACTTTGCAGGTCTGGAAAAACAATATTAAGGTTCCTAGTTACACAACCCCCGAACCCTGGGCGGGCTGGGAATGCCCCATTTGTGCCTGCAACACAAAGTCTGGATCTGGTGTTTCCCAGTCTTCACTAGCCCACCCTGTCTTCTGTTGAGAAGGATACACTTCAACCTAGCTGGAAATAACCTCCAACCAGTGGCGAAATCGGATACTGCTCCTGCTTCCCTGGAGAGTTGTTTAAGAAACTAGCTGTTTCGCCCCAGAATGGCTTCACTCAGGAAACACCCAGGGGGCAGTCTCCTAGGGGAGAAGTTGATTTGCACCCCTGCTGTAGCACGTACAGTCGGCAAGCTTCGCGGGTGACTCTGTGCTTTGCAACACAATAAAACTTCAGTCCTCTCTGCCTGGAAATCAGCAACGTTCCCTAGGCCTCCAATGTCTGGGGCACAGTCATAGTGACAGTCATGCCCCCATGGCCTCGTGCAGGGCCTGATGAGACACTTCTCACAGGATGTGACGGGCGGATGCAGCAGTGACTGCTGTGGCAATCTCAGTTCCTGTGGGACCAGGCCAGCTCTTCCCCTTTGGGCAGGAGCAGCAGACAAGGCTCTGCATAAATAAGACATTCCTTTTGCATCTGTGTTGCTGGGGAATTGAGGGTCGGGTAGCAGGTTCCCAGCCGCTCTCCTGGGAAGAAAGTAGCAGCCGTGTTAGTCTGTATTCACAAAAAGAAAAGGAGGACTTGTGGCATTTTAGAGACTAACAAATTTATTTGAGCATAAGCTTTCGTGAGCGACAGCTCACTTCATCGGATGCATTCACGAAAGCTTGTACTCAAATAAATTTGTTAGTTGCTAAGGTGCCACAAGTCCTCCTTTTCTTTCTCCTGGGAACATGTCACATTTCTAGATCTCAGGTCATTTATTCATAAGTCAAGGCAACATTCTGAAATCGAGCCAGAGTCTTGTACTGGCTCATCTCTCCCCCTTGCCCCCCCGCCTCCCCTCGCCCCGCCACTTTTGATTCATCCCCCACTGGCTCTTTTCAGCCCTGCCTTGAATCATAGCCTCAATCCCATTTCCTTCCTCTGTGCCCCTGCCCAGGTCTGATTCATGGCTCCGCTCCTGCTCGTGGCAGGGGGCCACTGCTGTCCAAACAAATCTTCCGCCCGCCCACTAGGGAAGGAGATTGCTCAGACAGAGAGGAAGACTAGACATGGCAAGGAGGGCTCGATCTTGCGCTCACAGATGTCAGTGAGAGCTTTGACGCTAACAAATTGGCTGTCTGAAATTCCCAGGCCCCTTGTGCCCCTCACCCCTCTGGCAGATGGGCATCGGACAGAATCACAGCTGTGTTCATCTGGAGGACATCTAGCTTTGCTGATATGACCGCTATTATCTGGATTGGGGTAGCACCTAGTTACGGACCAGGCCCCTGTACATTATTAGGTGTAATACGGTAGAGCCTAGGTGCCCCAGTCACAGAGAGAAAACCTCAAAGAAGCTGAGGCCTGACTATGTGCCTCCCAGCCGAGTTCTGCTGCTTCTTCCAAGCTCTGAAGCAAAGATAATGGCCCAGTGGCGAGGTCCTTCCACGGCGGTGACGACAGTAGGAACTAGGGACTATTTAACCAGACAACCAGGGGAAAAAAGAACAGCAAATTTAGCACATACATTTGCTGAAGTCCTGGAAAGCCAGGGAAGGCCTCTTCATTCTGCCGCATCCTGAGGAACTGGATCCGGGACTCCAAATTAACAGCTGCCTGCAAGGAAGCTCAGTGCCCCTCAGAGAGAAGCAAAAGGAACAGGTGCTCCAACTGGTGGCCACTTTTCCAAAGGTATTCTCAGCTCGTCCATGGCCCAGCATCACATTAATGCAGAACCTGGTAAAGTAATACAGGACGGGTTCCAACCAATCACCGACAAATTGAGGGGGGCTGTCAAGGCCATGTTAGAATTCGGGGTAACAGAGGAATCCCTGAGCGACTGGAGGAGTCCTGTTGTGCTGGTTGCAAAGCCGGATGGCTCCCTGTGTTTCTGGGAGGACTTTGTTCCTACTCCATGTTGTGGATGGACGGACTCTTAGGCCAGCTGGGAGAAGCCCAGTGCATCACCACTCTGGATTTGACAAAGAGATACTGGAACATCCCCTTATCACTGGACTCTCGGAAGAAGACGGCTTCCCCTACACCACTTGGCCTAATTCATTTTAAGATGATGCTCTTTGGGTTACAGGGGGCAGTGGCCCCCTTTTCAATGTTTGGTGGACCAATTACTCCAACCACATAATCAACATGCGGCTGCATACTTCGACAATGTAGTCATCTCCAGCAAGGATTGGGATTCCCATCTGGACAAATAGCTGCCCTTCCCCGATCACTGAGGAAGCTGGGTTAATGGCTAACCCAGTTTGTAATAGGGAAAACAGGAATCCCATTATCTGGGATACATGGTCGGTGGAGGGCAAGTCCACCCCTAGATGGATAAGGTCTATGCCCAATGGGCACACAAGTTCGGGTCTTCCTAGGCCTAGCTGGCTACTATGACCGATTCATACCACGTTCACCACTATAGCAGCCCCACTGACTGACCTAACCAAGGACACTGCCACCAGGGTTGGAGCAGTGCCCGGAGGTGCCGGGGACATGCTCCGAATGGGGGCGGGTACCCGAGGAGCAGTGGGCGGTCCCAGGCCTTCCAGCCATTGGGACGACTGTTGCTGGTGTGATGCCATCTCCGTGAGCCGTTGTGCTGGCGAGTCAGCCGGCCGGTGCAGGAGCCGGTTCACCTCCGTCGCTCTTTGCACTGCAGTGATGGTTACAGTCCTCCCCACTTCTGGGACTGCCTCGTCAGCTGCTCTCGGGCCGTCTCCTAACTGTCTCCCTCTGGCCACCTCCAGTTGGCCCAGCCCTAAAATGGGTCAAGCAGCCCTTAAACTCCAGGGCGTCAGTTCCTTAGAGGCAGCCTGGCCCGGTTGTTGCCCTCCACTATCCCAGGCCTTTCTGCCTCCCCATCTCGCTCTGTCCTCCCTCCTTTATAGCTGTGGCTGCCTGCGAGCCTCCGTGACTGTCAGCCTGGTGCCTCTCTGCCTGGGCTCCACCTGGTCACCCGTAATGGGGCTCACAAAGCCCAGGGGTGTGCTGGGTGGCGGGGGCTATGCCGGAGTGCTGAGTGTATTGTCTTGCGGCCCTAGTGCCTGGGGAGAGGAGCCCAACTGCCGGCCCCAGTTTGCCAGCCTGGGAGATTCTGGCAATGTCTTCTCCCCGAGTTGGCAGCTCTAGCTTCCTGCCCAGCATGGTTTGCATGTAAAGCTGAGTGTGCTCAAACACAGGCTGGTCACGCTCAAAGGCCTCCCTCCTGCCTGGAGCAGCATTGTGCAACAGCAGCTCCCAGCCGAGCCAGCCTTCCCAGGTGTGACCCCGCCTCCTCTCGCTCCAAGCAGCATAAATAGGCGGGCGAAGCTCAGCAAGAAATCAGACAGAAGAGGCAGGTGAAGAATGGGCGACTCGGAGCCACGGGCGGGCCTGGGTACTGTATTGCCATCAGCAAGCTACGGCTGCGAAGGGCTCTCTCTTCTGCTACTGCTCTGCTGGGCCTTGCGGCTCTCCGGGGCTTTTCTCCTTCCTCTTTTGCCGAGAGTGCATTTGATCTCCTTGTAGCTGGATCCCGGAGGCAGGCTGCCCCGCCCGCCCGAGACGCAGTGCCCAGGCAGGACAGGCGTTTGCAGCGCGATCACTGTGTTTTCAAGCCAGAGAATGGGCTGATATATTGAGACCTTGGTGGCGGGCAAGCGAGCGGCTCCACAGAGCCAGCCCGCGGCCAATCAGGGTCATTTGATTTTCTTTGAATAAGTGACCTTTTAGTTGTAAACAGGTGAAACCCCAGCTCATTTCTAAACAAGTCCCCTCCAGCTTGAATTTTAGTTGGGTTTCTCTGGCCATAGTTTTCATTCCCTCCAAGGCGACACACAGGAAACAAAAGGTCACCGCAGTACGGAAGTTGCAGCGCAGCTGGTTACGACACCGGCTGCAAGGCGTGCAGGTTGACAATTACGCTACTGGAAATTTTGATACCACAGAATGAGTTACACTATAGAGCAATGATGTACATTGCGAGCATGCGGGAGCATGTGACGGCCTCTATAAAGAGACCCATACTGGCCCAATGGCAGAGTAGATCCACAGAGCAGGGGCAGCCAGTGCAGGATGGGTTGTCCGGTGTGTTGGCTCAGTTACCTGATAGTGCTTTTTCTCTGCGGTTTCTGTTCAGAGGCACATCCATCCGAGATTCATGAAAAGCCAGCCGCCCAGATGAAAGTCTTCAAGTACCGGTAAGTGATTTCTGCTTCCTGGCAGCACAGGGCTGCAGAGTTCAGATCCGTGGTCGAGCGTCAAATTGGCCGATTGCGAGGATTTTCACAAGGCGGACTGGTTCCCTGTGGTGGTTGCTCTCTGTATTGTGGTAGGGCCTTGGAGCCCCGGTCATGGAGCAGGGCCGCGTTGTGTGAGGTGCTGCACAGACACGGATCAAAAAGATGGTCCCTGTCTCAGGTGGTTCACAAGGGACTGGGCGGCTTGTGAAAGCGAGCGCAGATCCTAGAACTGCAGGGAATTTTGGTCCCCACCGCCTCTGAAACTTTGTGCCATTTACTGTCCTGTGGTGTTCAAAACCAGTCTCAGCCTCCCAGGCAGGGTGGGCACGGCCCCACGCAGCATAGGCCGCCGAGCACACAGCTCAAAGAGCAGGTGAGGGGGGAGGTAGGCGTGCATTGGCGGTGACAGGCGGGACGGGTTGGGTGTGACAAAGGGGATGTTCAGTGGGACCAGGCACCCATCAGCTCCTCAGCAATCCAGGAGCAGGATCCCTGAGCTCACTGCCAGCAGAGTGGGGCCTATGGGAGGCCCGGGGCTGGCGGGTCCATGGGGCCATCGGCCCGTGTTGTCTTGTGGCACTGCTGGGTCCAGGGGCACTGAGGGCTGTGCAGAGAGAGGCTGGCACGGCCCTGCGTGGATGCTTTCATTTGGGCTTGGAGCAGGTTATATCTGTTTAGTTTAGATCAGTTGGGAACTGGTGCTGGGGCTGGGTATGGGGGGGGGTAGGGGTTTGGAGGGGCAGCGCAGGGTGCTGGGCATTGGAGGGAATGGGCAGGGTGCTGGGGGGGGTTCAGTGCTGGGGCGGGGTGTTGGGGGGCTCAGTGCTGGGGATGGAGTGCTGGGGTTTGGATGGTTGGGGCACTGGAGGGTTGGAGGGGCAGGGCAGGGTGCTTGGCGTTGGAGGGGAGGGGCGGAGTGCTGGGGCTGGATCTAGATTGCGGCTTGTTGGCTCACACTCGCTGCCTTTCAGCCTTTGGGATGTGGCCCAGAAGTCTCTCTACCTGCGGAACAATCAGCTGGTCGCTGGCTATTTGCAAGGGCCCAACTCTGCGCTGGAAGGTGGGTTGCACCCGTTGCCCCCTCCGCTTCCCCTGCCCTGGGCGGGCGAGGGGCTGGGATCCTCCCGGGCAGATCTTCTGCTGGGCACCCGTGCCACCACCCTCGCCTGGCAGCCAGAGCCTCCAGCTGGGCCTGGCCAGGCCCGCCCTGCCCTGGGTGCCTCAGCCTGGCTCTATCTCCCCGAGCTCCGTGCAGTTTGCAGCCATTGAGCAATTACGCTACAGCTCTAGGCCTGTGGCCCCAGGGCTGGCAACGCAGACCCCCCTCTCCCACTTGCCATGCTAAGTGCTAACCAGGTCAGTCTGGTTTTATTCCCCGTGGGCCAAATCCGGCCCCTTTGGCATGCTGGGGGCTCTGGCAGTTAGGTCACCTGGGTGGTCTGAGAGCTAGTTGGGCTATCCCACCCTGGGACTCGCCGGGGCGGTAATTTCATCTGATGGGCAAGGGGCCTGAGCCGAGTGGGGCCTTGTGAGGGGCAGGAGGATCTGTCCTAGGGCTCACCCTCCCTCCCTTCTCCCCACAGAGAAAATTTGCTGGGTCCCCAACCGCTCCTTCGAGCGGGAGAAGTTCCCCATCATCCTGGGCGTCCAGGACGGGCGCCGCAGCCTGGCATGTGGGACGGGCGCCCTGCCCGCGCTGCAGCTGGAGGTGAGTGGGACCCCACCTCTGATCTCTGTGTCCTACACCCCCTTTCCCTTGCCACAGGACCTCTCCCTGCCAGGGCTCCATTCCCCCGGCCCAGGCCTGGCTGCAGCGCAGGCTGGTAGAGGGTGCTCCCATCCCGCCCTGCTCCACCGGAGTCCAGATCTCTGCCCACCCCATTGGTGACCTCCCTGCCCGGCACCAGTCCGAGCCCCTCCCCACTCAGTACAGACCAGCCCCAGGCCCTGGCTGGCCCCCGCGGGAGAGTCTCCGTCCCTCACCAGCCTCTCCCCTCCTGCGCAGGACGTGAACATCACGGAGCTGTCCCGGGGCGGTGAGGAAACCACCCGCTTCACCTTCTTCCGCTCCTACAAGGACGGCATGTGGCGCTTCGAGTCGGCTGCCAACCCAGGCTGGCTGCTCTGCACCTCCGCCCAGTCCAACGAGCCCCTGGGCCTCACCACCAGCCCGGATGCTGCCCATATCGTTGACTTCTACTTCCAGCTGTGCTGAGCCCAGCCGCCCGGGATGTGTGCCCCGGCCCAGCCTCCCCCAGGCTGTGTAGGAGGAGACCAGCTGGGTCGGGAAGGGCTGCATGACCTCTCCCTGACCCAGCCGCAACCTGCTGGGGCGCAGGAGACAGAGCCATGTCCCTAGGACTCCTGAGTCCCAGCAGGAGGGCACCGGGGCCTGATCCTGCCAGGAACTGCGCCCCCTCCCGGTGGGGGTGTTTCAGGGCACCCAGCCCCTTGTAGAGCCAGGCCGTGCGCTTCAGCCAACGTGCCCCAAAGGGGGGCCCGATCCTGGGGGCCCCTCTCCAGAGCCGTGGAGCCTTTCCAAAGGGGTCTGCAGGCGTCCAGTGGCAAGATGGCCCAGCGGTTCGAGCACTAGCCGGGGACTTGGAAAACCCTGCTCTGCCAGACTCCCTTGGGCAGGTCCCGGAGCCACTCCGTGCCTTAATTTCCCCCCCTGTACAATGGGGACACCAGCCCTGCCCCCTGGGGTGTGTGAGGGTAACTCCATAGGTGGGGAGGGATTTCTCAGTGGTTTGAGCATTGGCCTGCTAAACCCAGGGTGGTGAGTTCAATCCTTGGGGGGGCCATTTAGGGATCTGGGGCAAAAATTGGGGATTGGTCCTGCTTTGAGCAGGGGGTTGGACTAGATGACGTCCTGACGTCCCTTTCAACCCTGGTAGTCTATGATTCTATGATTCATTAGCCGCAGGCTCTGGTGCTGGGGGCCTGACAGGGCTCATGGACAGGAATCCCAGAGCATGCGGGTGTCTGGCCGTGGGCCCGACAGAGCTGCAGCAGGATGTTGCCATGGCAGCACTGTTCCGGCTGGGCTCAGTGTCTCCCAGCGGTTCTGCTCTGCATGGCTGCGGAAGGGCCGGCTGCCCTGGAAGGGGATCTGGATGCGCGCCCTCGCTGTGTGACTAGCTCGTCCCACTGGAGAGCTCTGGCCCCATGGATCCCCCCAACCCCAGCCTGGCTTTGAATAAACGTAGAAAGTAGCTACCCATGCCTGAGTGACACTGTTGAGTTGAGATGCACCTGCCACCCTCTGGGCCCAACTCCCATCAAATGCCCCAGCTGGGCCATGCTGGAGCCCAGGGCTGGCCCCCCCTCCCCCAGCCTGCTCCCCACGACTTCCAGGCTGGATAAACACAGGGGCTGATTCCCTGCAGGGCTTTGCTGGAGTAAGGAATGAAAGAGGCAAAGACAAGCAGGACTCCTGGGTTCCATGCCCTACTCAGCCACCCACTTGCTTCCCCACTCAGTGCCTCAGTTTCCCCAGCGGTCACATGAGACTAGTGCTCCAGGTCTATAGCCAGGTCCTGAGCTGGTGTCCATGGTGCTGCTCCATCAGAGTCAAGGGAACTGCGCCAGTCACAACTCCCACACATACAGTGCTCACTCCATGTTACCATTCCCCCCCACCCCCCAGGGGGATCCCACGTGCAGAGGAGAGCTGGCATGTTCCAGCTCTCCTCGCTCCCTGGGCCCATGTGGGATATGTTCCCCCTGCAGGGAAAGCGCCCTGTGCACTCTACCATCCCAGCTTTACAGGCGGGCATGGGAGCACTGTGGAATACGCCTGTTGAACACGGGGGCTAGTGCATGGTGGGGGGCAGAGGAGCTGCCCCAGGGAATGGGACTGTTCAGGTACCGAAACCAGGGGAAGGGATTTTATACAATGCACCTTCAGCCTGGGGAACTCACTGCCACATGATGTCATAGAGGCCAAGAGCTTGGCGAGGTTCCACCAAGGATCCATTTATCCTGCGTGAGACTGTTCAGAGCTACAGAACTGAGCCACTTCAGGGGCTGGATTCATCCAGGAGAGGGGCTAACACAGTAGCTGGGATCTGAGCCCCTTGCCCCTGCGTCGGACAGGGTCAGGGGGAAACGGCTCCCGTGGGCGGGTGGTCCGGAATGGCCCCTGGAGTGGCTGGGAGTGGCCCCATGGCAGACAGGCCCCGGGGTGGGCTGGGCATGGGTGCGATGTCCACGCCCTTTGTGGATAGAGTTTGCAGGCAGGGGACTGGGGCAAGAGAGGGGAGCGTGTGTGCCACACCCAGCCCCACAGCGTCAGTGGGAGCGCTGGGCACGTGAGGAACATGGGGGGGTAGCACTCCCAGTGAGCTGTGGGGAGTCCCTGGGACACTGGGCGCCCAGGTGCCTAAGGTTGCAGACTGACCTTGTTGCTGGGCAGAGGCTTCCCAGGCCTCCCTGGGACACACACGTCCTTCCTTGTGTGTTTATTCCCCACATGGGCTGCTCCTCCAGTCCCCCATCCATGGGGAACCACTGAGCCTGCCCCAGGGTTTGGAACAAAAGTCCAATGGCTCAGGGAAACCAGGAGCCTTTCCCAGCCAGCTCTGCCCACAGCCCGGGCACCCATGACTCCTGGGAACCAGGGCGCTGCTGAAATCTATGAGGGCCTGGGGTCACTCCCCACCCTGGCAGGGACTCGATGCACCCGCCTGGGGTGGGAGCGCAGATTCATTTGGGGAGGGACCTCTACTTGTGCTGTGCATGGAGGGCCAGCCCCATGGCAGCTGGGGCATTTCACCCATCATTGCACCCTGATCCCCCTGGGGCAGTGCTACCCACGGCTCTGGCATCACACCAGGGCCAATCTGCATGCCCAGCCTGCTTGGCAGGTTCCATTAATTCCACCCACTGACGCGTCAACAGCAAGATTTCAACATCCCCCAGCTTTCGCAGCTGCCTTCTCCTGGCCTGAGGCGGGGACTGGCCCAGCATGAGTATGCCATAGCTCCCCAGAGCCAGCTGCACAACACTGGACTCCCCAGCTCTATATGCTTCTGACACCCCAAGTACCCCTCCCCACAGATCTGCGATAGCACCAGCCACAAAAGGACGGCAGCTGGCAAGGGACACAGCAGGGACAGCTGGGTTCGTGACTCAGGCGTTGGGCTGCAGCTGAGGTGAGCTGGATTCTGTGTCGGTCTGTCTGGCCTTCAGCTTCCCCATCTCAGTTGGGATCTGTCACGGAGTGTGGGGGAGTCCAGGCCCTGCACCCCTCTTCCTGGGATTCACTGAGACTCTCAGCCAGCCAGTAAAACAGAAGGTTTATTGGACAAGAGGAACACAGTCCAAAACAGAGCTTGTGGGTACAACCAGGACCCCTCAGTCAAGTCCTTCTGGGGGAGCAGGGAGCTTAGACCCCAGCCCTGGGGTTCCCTGTGTTCCTCTCCCCAGCCCCAAACTGAAACCAACCCCCCTCCCAGCAGGCTCCCTTCTGCAACCTCTGTTCACATTCCCAGGCAGAGGTGTTACCTCCCCCTCCCGCTCCTGGCTCAGGTTACAGGCTCTCAGATCTTCCCTCCCCTCCCCCAAAACTCCCCTGCCACATTCCCAGGTCAACACTCCCCCCTCCCTGCTGTGTCACATCTCTCCCCCCTTCGAGACTGAGCTGAGCGGGGTCCCGCTGACCAGTGACCTGGGGAAGTTCGGGGCCCCCTCTCCGGGACAAGGCATCCTCTATCAGGTTGGCACTTCCCTTCACGTGGACCACGTCCATGTGTCCATGTCGTAATCCTGCAGGAGCAGGCTCCACCTCAGGAGCTTGGCGTTGGTCCTTTCATCTGGTGCAGCCAGGTCAGGGGAGAGTGGTCGGTGTAGACGGTGAAGTGCCGCCCGAAGAGATAGGGCTGTAGTTTCTTGAGGGCCCACACCATGGCCAGGCACTCCTTCTCGATGGCCGCGTAGTGTTGCTCCCGGGGTAGCAACTTCTTGCTCAGGTACACGATGGGGTGTCTCTCCCCCTTTTCATCCTCCTGCATTAACACCGCCCCCAGTCCCATGTCTGAGGCGTCGGTGAAAACCATAAAGGGCTTGTCAAAGTCTGGGTTTGCCAGAACTGGGCCACTGACCAGAGCCTCCTTCAGCGCCCGGAAAGCCTCCTGGCACTGCTCGGTCCAGACCACCTTGTCTGGCTTCCCCTTTTTGCATAGCTCAGTGATGGGGGTGGCTATGGCACTAAAGTGGGGCACAAATCTTCGGTAGTATCCTGCCATCCCAATAAAGGCTTGGACCTGCTTTTTGGTGTGGGGAGCGGGCCAGTCTCTGATCACCTCCACCTTGGCTGGTTCCGGCTTTAGGCGGCCGCTCCCCACCCGATGGCCCAGGTAAGACACTTCCGCCATCCCCACCTTGCACTTCTCCGCTTTTACAGTCAGCCCAGCCCCCTGGAGTCGGTCCAGCACTTGTCTAACCTGGGACACGTGGTCCTCCCAGGTCTGGCTAAAGACACAGATGTCATCAATATACGCCACGGCAAAACTCTCCATCCCCTCAGGAGCTGGTCCACCAGGCGCTGGAAGGTGGCCGGTGCTCCCTTGAGGCCGAAAGGCAGGGTCAGGAACTCATAGAGCCCCAAAGGGGTGATAAAGGCCAATTTCAGTGGGGCATCTGCATCCAGCGGCACTTGCCAGTAGCCCTTTGTAAGGTCCATGGTGGTGAGGTACCGAGCTCCTCCCAGCTTGTCTAGGAGCTCGTCCGGCCTGGGCATGGGGTAGGCATCAGATACAGTGATGGCATTGAGCTTCCGATAGTCCACACAGAACTGGACCGACCCGTCCTTTTTGGGGACCAGCACCACCGGCGAGGCCAAAGGGCTGGCAGAGGGCTGGATCACCCCCAAGGACAGCATGTCCCAGACCTCTCTTTCCAGGTCCTGAGCAGTTTTCCCTGTGACTCGGAAGGGGGAGCATCTTATCGGCGGGTGCGACCCTGTCTGCACCCGGTGGACAGTCAGATTAGTGCGTCCAGGCTGGTTGGAAAACAGCTGTCGGGACGGATGCAGCACCCCCCGACCTCAGCTTGCTGGGCAGGGGTTAGCTGATCCGAGAGGGGGATTGTTTCCAGGGGAGAACCAGCTCCGCTCCCAGGGAATAGATCTACTAAAGGGTCATCTCCCTGCTCCTCCCACTGTCCACACACGGGCAACACCACATTCCCCCTGGCATAATATGGCTTCATCATATTCACATGATACACCCGGCGGTGGTGCGCCCGGTTCGACAGCTCCACCACATAGTTTACCTCATTGAGCTGCTTGACGACCTTGAAAGGGCCCTCCCAGGCGGCCTGTAGTTTGTTCTTTCTCATTGGGATGAGAACCATCACCGGATCCCCGGTGGCGTAGGCACGGGCCCGCGCTGTGCGGTCATACCAGACCTTCTGCTTCCTCTGGGCTCTGGCCAGATTCTCCCTGGCCAGGCCCATGAGTTCAGCCAGTCTCTCTCGGAAGATCAGGACATACTCCACCACTGACTCTCCATCGGGAGTGGCCTTCCCCTCCCACTCGTCTCTCATCAGGTCCAGGGGGCCCCTCACCCTCCTTCCATATAACAGTTCGAAAGGCGAAAATCCGGTAGACTCCTGGGGCACCTCCCTGTAAGTGAACAGCAGGTGAGGTAAGTACTTGTCCCAATCCTGCGGGTGCTGGTTCATAAAGGTTTTCAGCATCATCTTTAGCATCCCGTTAAACCTCTCCACCAGCCCATTGGACTGGGGGTGATAAGCTGAGGCCCAGTCGTGCCGGACCCCACATTTCTCCCACAAGCACCGGAGCAGGGCCGACATGAAGTTGGAGCCTTGGTCTGTCAAGACTTCCTTGGGGAACCCCACTCGGCTGAGAACGGTCAGGAGCGCATCGGCCACGGTGTCTGCTTCAATGGAAGCTAAGGGCACTGCCTCGGGGTAGCGGGTGGCAAAATCTACCAGCACCAGAATGTATTTCTTCCCCGACCGGGTCGTCTTGCTGAGAGTCCCCACGATGTCCATGGCCACCTTCTGGAAAGGTTCCTCTATGATGGGCAAACGTTTCAAAGCTGATTTCCCCTTGTCCCAGGCCTTCCCCACCCTCTGACAGGGGTCACAGGATCGGCAATACTGCTGGACTGTGGTAAAGACCCCAGGCCAGTAAAAGTTCTGTAGCAACATCTGCCGGGTGCGCCGGATTCCCTGGTGCCCTGCGAGGGGGATGTCATGGGCCAGGTACAGGAGCTTGCGGCGATACTTCTGGGGGACCATAGAATCATAGCATATCAGGGTTGGAAGGGACCTCAGGAGGTCATCTAGTCCAACCCCCTGCTCAAAAGCAGGACCCATACCCAACTAAATCATCCCAGCCAGGGCTTTGTCAAGCCTGACCTTAAAAACTTCTAAGGAAGGAGATTCCACCACCCCCCTAGGTAACACATTCCAGTGTTTCACCACCCACCCAGTGAAAAAGGTTTTCCTAATATCCAACCTAAACCTCCCCCACTGCAACTTGAGACCATTACTCCTTGATACCACCAGCTGCCTCCTGATCCCACAGGATGCCACTTCCCCTGGGGGAGCCCATTCTCGGTACAGGAACCCCTTCTCCCACAGGAACCTCTCCTGGCAACCTCTCCTCATGGTCCGTACCACACCGAGGTCGGCCAGGTCCCTGAGCTTCCACAAGGAGGGATCTTTCCTCAACTCAGCCTGCAACTCAGCGGCTGGGGACGGGATGGGGACCGGTTCCCTCTCATTGGCTGGGTCTGAGGCCTCAGCCTCTCTGAGCCGTGCCCCTCGGCCCTCCCTTCCCACCAGGGTAGGGTCCTGCGCCTCCGGTGTGGTACCCACCCCGAGGTCAGGGCGCAGTGTCCCTCGCCGGCTCTGGCTACGGGTCACAACCAGGGTGGTCTGGGGCTTGCTTGGCCAGTCCTCTAGGTCTCCCCCCATCAAAACCTCAGTGGTGCACCCCCACCTCCTTGGGGCCCTCCATGGCCCCCCATTTCAGGTGTACCCTTGCCACGGGCACCTTGAATGGGGTCCCGCCCACCCCTGTCAGGGGCAGGTAGGTGTTGGGCACCACCCGATCTGGGGCCACCACCTCGGGCCGGGCCAGCGTCACCTCCGCGCCCGTATCCCAGTATCCATTGACCTTCTTCCCATCCACCTCCAGGGGAACAAGGCACTCTCTCCGGAGGGACAGCCCCGCGCCCACCCTGTAAACCGAGCACCCTGAGTCCAGAGCCTCCAGCCCTCTGGCGGAGCTGGCCTGGGGTACTCTTCCCTCCTGAGCAGGTGGTAAACTGGTAGCCCCCCTTTCTTGGGTCGTCTGCCCCTCGTCCAGCTGGGTCCCTACCCAGTTAACCCTGGGTAGGTTGGGTCTGCTCAATTTGTCCCTGAGCCCGGGGCACTGGGTCCGTATGTGGCCTCTCTGGGCACAGTGATAGCAGCTCAGGTCACGTTGGTCCCCTCAAGCGAGTCAGATGGTCCTGACGCCAGGTATTCCCCTTGGGAGGGGGTTCTCCATATTTCCCTGCTGGGAGGTCCCATGGTGATTCTCTCTCTGCATCGTGCGGGGGGCCTGTTCTTTTGGGGCTCCTCCCTGCTACCCCCTGACCGACTGTTCACAAACTTGTCGGCCAGCTGCCCTACGTGCTGGGGGTTCTCTAGCTTTTTGTCCACCAACCACAGCCTCAGGTCGGAAGGGCACTGTTCATACAGTTGCTCCAGTACGATTAGGTCAAGCAGGTCCTCTTTAGCTTGGGCCCCAGCTGTCCACTTGCGGGCATATCCCTGCATCCGGTTGACCAGTTGTAGGTAGGTGACCTCAGGCATTTTACGCTGACTCCAGAACATTCTCCAGTACATCTCGGGGGTCAGCCCAAACTCATGGAGCAGGGCCTGTTTGAACAGTTCATAGTCCCCTGCCTCCGGCCCTGTCATTCGGCTGTACACCTCCACGGCTTTGGGGTCCAGTAAGGGGGTGAGAAACTGGAGCCTGTCTGCAGGGTCAACCCTGTGCATCTCGCAGGCATTCTCAAAGGCCGTCAGGAAGCTATCTATGTCCTCCCCCTTCTTCCGCTGGGCCAGGAAGCACTTATCAAAGCTCCTTGCAGTCTTGGGTCCCCCCTCACTCACCGCAGCCGGGGCCCCACTGCTCCTCAGCCTGGCCAGCTCCAGTTCATGCTGTCTCTGGTTCTCTTCATGCTGTCTCTGTTTCTCCTTCTCCTCCTGCTCATGCTTACGTTGCCTCTCCTTCTCCTGACATTCCCTCTCCTTCTCCTCCTGTTCATGCTGACGTTGTTTCTCCTTCTCCTCCCGCTCATGCTGACGTTGCTTTTCATGATCCTCCAGCTCCCTCATTTTCATCTCCCTCTCCCATTCCAGCTGCATCCGCTCCAGGGATGGGGAGCTCCGCCGGGATCTTCCCCCAACCCCTCCCCCAGGCCTAGGTAGGAAGGGTCTTGGGATGTCCTCGGCAGCAGTCTGACCCCTCCCAGCCCGGTCAGGCCCCAGGGATCCATGCTGCGTCGGCCGGGCGGCTTCCCTCAGGGGCAGGGATCGGGTCGTCGAAGCGATCCCTCTCCTCCAACTGGGCAATCAGCTGTTCATTGGTGGAGCTCCCAATGTGCACCCCCCTCTGCCTGCACAGCTCCACCAGGTCGCTCTTAAGGCGTTTCGCGTACATCTCCCTGCTGGCCACTCGCAGGCCGGGCAGCGTTCTACAGTTTCCAGGAAAAACCCCTCGTGTGCCAGTCCTTCTTAAGGTCACCACCTCTTTGCCAGGGTCGAGCTGCAGACTCCTCCACTCCTGGGACCGCTCGCTGCGATCCCCCGGGGACCCTGTCACTGCAAAAGTCCTTCTCTCTGGTCACACACTCCCAGGGGTTAACCGCCCCCTGAAACCGTCTCTCTCTGAATCTTCAGCACGCCTGGTCCCCGTCAATCCCCCTTTGTTTTACTGTTCCCCAGTCACTTACTGCAGGAAGCGCCGTTCATGGGGTGCATTAGATCCCACCTCTGCCACCAGTTGTCATGGAGTGTGGGGGAGTCCAGGCCCTGCACCCCTCTTCCTGGGTTTCACTGAGACTTTCAGCCAGCCAGTAAAACAGAAGGTTTATTGGACAACAGGGACACAGTCTCAAACAGAGCTTGTGGGTACAACCAGGACCCCTCAGTCAAGTCCTTCTGGGGGAGCAGGGAGCTTAGACCCCAGCCCTGGGGTTCCCTGCATTCCTCCACCCAGCCCCAAACTGAAACCAACCCCCCCTCCCCCAGCAGTCTCTCTCCTCCAGCTCTTGTCCAGTTTCCCAGGCAGAGGTGTTACCTCCCTCCTCCCCCTCCTGGCTCATGTGACAGGCTCTCAGGTCTCCCACCCCCAGTGAAACTCCCCTGCCACATTCCCAGGTCAACACTCCCCCCTCCCTGCACCGTCACAGGGTCTGCACAGCCCCCAGGACAATGGGTCCCAGATCTCAGTTGGGGTTTTGCCTGACACGATGGGGCCCTGATCTCGGTCGGGGTCTGGACAGTGCCCGGCCCGACGGGGCCCCAATCTCAGGTTTCTATCTGAGGATTCCTGCATTGGGGTTTCCAGACTGACCCAATCCCTGCCCATACGTCACTCAGTTCATGGGCTCTCCCCAGCTTTATTGTCCGGGACTGGGTGTTGCCCCTTCCTGGAAGCCACCATGTGTCAGCTGAATTTGCATGTTACATCAGCGCTGTCCTCTCCCGGCCCATTATCCCAGGTGTAACCGACACTCCCTGTGCAGCAGGGCCCCATAAGTAGCTGTGGAGCTGCCCGGCTGGTGCGACTGGTGCGACGGCACGCTCCAGAACTCACAGGAACTTGTGGACTGCAGGTACCGCTCTCCCACCGGGTTCCCAGTGCCACAGGCCTCCTCTGCCAGCTTGCTGCCCTAGCACCCGGTGGGTCCTCTGCTTTCTCTTCTGGCTGGGATGGGGCTGATGGGGTATGGGCATATTCCCAGGGGCAACAGGGAAGGGCAGGAATCCAGTGCTTTACCAGGTGGGCCCTGGGGCTGGGTTCAGCTAGGATTTACCAGCTGCTGGCTGAACAGAGAGCCCTTTGCAGCCTTCATGCCTGGGGAGTTACCTGGGTACAGGGGCCTGCCAGGGCTGGCCCAGGCCCAAGCCCAAAGCCTTCGGTGTCACCGGCAGGTCTCCCCTTGGGTTGGCACCTCAGCTGCTGTAAAGCAGCAGAGCTCCACCGACTCCCCTGGGCTCAGGCCTCCATGGTCAGAAAGAACGCCTAGGAGGACTATGACCTGCCACCATCCTGCACAGCCAGGCATTCACTCTGAAACCTAGTGATGACCGCAGGCATGTCACCATTGCAGACTAAAGTCTCTGCTGTTGCACATGTGGCCGTCCTGGGACTGTGGGCAGATCCTGGCACTATAGGCTGTGTTGGAGAAGGATGCCCCCCTCTGCCCCAGTCTGAATCCCGGCTCCCTGGTTAGAGACACACTGATGTGGCCCATCTCGAAGCCCCACTGTTGTGGCTTGGTCCCAGCCACAGGCAGGGTCAGGCCTTTGTGATAGCCAGGAATCCTGCCCATTCCAGACCGACGCCAGGTGCCCGCCTCTCCCCCCAAGGCTCAGCCATGTCTGGCACCCCAGAGTCACATGTGGGTTGGGGGACACCCCACAGGTGAGTCCCAGCCCCCAAGCTGTACATGGAGGCTGGCCATGTGTGGGATCCCTGCCTTTCCGGGCTCCACGGGGCATGGGCAGGTGGCTGTGAGCACAGCTCGTGAGCCGTGTCTGCACCCTCCACCCATGCGCCCCAGGAGAACTGGGCTGGCTGGAGCTGTAAGCTGGACGCGCCCGCACCTGGGCTTGGACTGGCCTTGGGAGCCTTCCAACATGGGCTAACACTGAGGGATGGCACCAGCAGGCCCCACCTCCGTGCCCAGTTCACACCGCTGGCTATCAGCAGTGGCTCCGTGGGCATCAATGGGCCAGATCCTCTGCTGGTGTCAATTGGTATCGATCCACTGCTGTGTGGGGAGTCCAGGGCTGGGCTAGCAGGGGCTGCGGGTCGGGAGTGAGGGGCACTAGCGAAGCGGGGAGGGGGAGTCCAGGGCTGGGCTGGCAGGGGGCTGCGGGTCGGGAGTGAGGGGCACTGGCAGGGCTAGTGCAGGGAGCCCAGGGCATCCTGAGAGGTCAGCAGCCCGGGGCAAAATCTGGCCGTGATGCTGCTGTCTCTGGTCACCATCTCCCTTTGTTGATAGTGAAGCCACAGGAGGAGGGGAGCCAGCTGCAGACTGTGCATGTGGGGTAAGGGCTGGGCTTGGGCTGGGGTCTCCCTTTGGTGGATACATTGTGCCTGGGGTGGGGAACTCAGCGTTTTCTGCCCTGTCCCAGCCGCCATCGCCCCCAAGGAGCTCTGCCTCCCCTTCAGCTGGGGCTGAGAGTGCAATGGTGTTGACAGCCAAATAGTTTGTGGAACTCCCTGCTACTGGATGTCAGCTAAGACCCCCAGCTGCACAAGCTGCTGCCCCCTGAATCAGCCAGGAGCCCCCTGTGTGCTACAGAGTGTATCTGCCCCCCATGGCCAGCCCTTCCAGGGGCACATTGGGGTTGATGCTTTTCCCAGGAGGCTGTGATTGGGAGCGGGGGTGCAGAGAAGGGGGTGAGAATGCCCCCCTGCCAAGCTTGTGAGTCAAATGTGGGTAGGTGACTCCCTGGGGCAGGGTCCCCCACAGCAGGATCTAGCTCTGAGACCGCTGATCTGTGCACGGGGGTGGCTACGGTGTGGGGCAACTGAGATCACTGACCTCAGTCTCTCCTCTCCAGCTGGAGAGCGCTGCAGGAACACCGCTGTCCAGGCTGGGCTCAGGGGAAGGGCTGAGGATGGAGCCGGTTTCGGAGTCGGTCGTGGACCCCGACATGGAGGAGCTGTTCAGACTTTTCTTGGATGAAGGTAGCGACCCAGGGGTTAAGGGCAGCTGCGCCAGAGGGGGAAGACATGGATGCTGCTTAGCAACTGTCACGGAGTCCCCGGGCGATGCTCAGGAACTGCTCCCTACGAAGCCAGGCAGGACTCTGGGGAAGTCTCCTCTCTGTGAGCAGCCTGTCTCCAGGACACACAGCTCACCTGGCTTCCACCTTCCTGGGTCTGACCTCGGAGCATTCAGCCTCCTCTGCCCCTCTGTGCGCTTCCCACAGCGAGTCCACCCAGGCGGGGTCCTGGGGCAGCCAGAGGGTCCTGCCCCCCAACTTCACAGTCAGATGTGACTCTTAGCCAGCCAGTAAAACAGAAGGTTTATTAGACGACAGGGACATGGTCTAAACCAGAGCTTGTAGGTGCAGAGAACAGGACCCCTCAGCTGGGCCCTCTAGGGCTCTGCAACGATCATACACCATTATCCCACCACCTAGATACTTAAGAACTGCATAGGGGAAACTGAGGCACCCCCACACTATTCAGAGGAAACATTAAGAACAGTCCCACTTTGTCACATCTCTCCCCCCTTCGAGACCGAACTGAGTGGGGTCACTTTAGCCAGTGACCTGGGGAAGTTCGACCCCACCAACGTTTCCATGGATGTCCCAGCTTTTCTCCCATTCCTTAGCATTGGCCTGCATCAGCCCCGCGCCCAGCCCTGGTTCTGAGGCGTCGGTGAACACTATAAAGACCATGGCGCAGTCTGGGTTTACCAGATTTACTGGGTCCTGGATTAGAGCCTCCTTCAGCGCACAGAGAGCCCTCTGGCACTGCTTGGTCCCGACCAGCTCGTCTGGCTTCCCCCTCTTGCACAGCTCAGTGATGGGGCAGCTGGGGAGCTCAAGAGGGGTACAAACCTCCAGTAGTATCCCACCATCCCGATAATGGCCTGGACCTGTTTCTTGGTCTGGGGAACAGGCCACTCTCTGATTGTCTCCCGCCTTGGCCGGCTCTGGGCTTGGGCATCCACTCTCCACCTTTTGGCCCAGGTGCGACACCTCTGACATCCCCACCTTACACTTTTCAGCTTTTACCATCAGTCCTGCCTCCTTGAGGCAGCCCAGCACCCTCTTCATCTGGGACACAGACTGTTCACGTACAGAATCAGCACGGAGACATTCCTTTCTCAACAACCTTGTCTCCCCAACAAGCTGGCCAAACACAGCCACTTGGTTATAGGACTGTTTAACTTTCTTAACAGCTTTCACTCCATCTGAGACCTTCTCAAAGCTATCCACACTGGATCTTTCAACAGGACAGTCAGTGGATCCATTTACAACAGAAAATTTCTGGCTGTTAGGAACTGAAACTTTCTTGATTAAATCACTTTCACACCCTTCAGTTGCACTTTCCTGAGCAACAACAGACTCTTTCTGGGTCTCCCTTACATCCAGAATTACCTCTGGCCCATCAGGCGGATTCTTACACAATCCCCTCTCAGGCAAACTTACAGACTTCCTAGATAAAAGGTTAGAAGCATTCTCCTTCCCTTTGCCACACACAAGTTCAGGAATCTTTTCCTTCTTGCTACAGGTTTCCACACCCTCAGTAGGTAACACAATCAAATCACCTTCATGCTCTCCTTGTGCCCTGGCTAGGATCTCACCCTGATTAGACAGAGTTGCTCCACCCTTTCCAACAACACACTAGCAACAGGCAAAATACAAGCACCAGAATTGTCTGGTCTTTGGGATTTTGCATAGACACTAACTGGATGCGACCTAGTTACAGGGCCATTCTCCCGAGCAGACACAAACTTAGGACCCTTCCCTTCCTGGACTTTAGCTGAATCCAGAACCAACTCTGAGACAACTGCATTACCCTCAACCATCACAGGCTGAAAGGCCCCTTCTGTCTGCTCCACAGACAAAGAGGAGCCGGACACACTTTCTCCTTCCCCAGACACCCAGCTTGGGATCTCTTTCCCCTGGTCCCAGCACACGAGGCTGGTCACAGGCAACTGCTTGGAGACTGGGGGTGGCTCCCTCCATAGGCAAGTCAATACCCCTGACAGACACAGGCACATTTCCTTCACTGTCACAATTCTCAACCCAGCTAACAGGTAAGGTCCAGGGACACTCATCTTCCACTCTCCTCGCCTTCCCACCCTGCTGACTAGACACAGCCATCAGCTCACAAGGCTGCCTAGGCTCATCCAGACTTTCCTTACCAAGCACCTTGCCACTCCCAACAGATCCCCTGCTGCTCTTCTCACTACCCTGAGCTACTTCCAGCAAATCGCAGTTACCCTTCTCAGGTTCCCTTTGACAAGCTGTGCTCTCAAAGCTCTGTTTTCCTTCCCTTACCAACCTCTGCTTCCACAAGGCACTAGATGTTCAAATCACTGAGAGACGACAAGTCCTATCCTAAGTGTCTAGAGATGAGACTAGACCTGCCATCCCCTGCATTCTCGAGAGATTAACTACCCAGCTGTTCTGCTCTGCAGACTCAGCTCTCCAGTCTTCCCTCTCACTGGCTGGGCCTGGGGTCACAGCCCCACTGAGCCCTGTCCCCGGTAGCTCCATCCTTGTCATGGACTCACTTCCCAGCAGTGCCTCTGGACCAGGCAAACCTGGTTGGCAGCCGACTTGCCCTGCTTGTGGATCCCCCCACTCAGCTGGGGTCTCAGCTCCCACTGTGCTCAGCGCTGCCCTTGCTTCCCAGTGTGGGCAGGCAGCGAGCTCCCTGCTTTCCTCACTGCATCAGAGCCAGCGTGAGCCCCCTCTCCGGTGTGCAAGGGGGCGGGGAGCATCTCTCTGTCCCACCCAGCCCCAGGGGTCTGGTTACAGGCAGGCAGGTATCCTGAGCTTAGCCTCTCCTCCCCCCTGCCAGCCAGGTCATTTGCATTTTCACTGACAATTTCCATCTTAGTCAATTGGTTCCCTGGATTCAAATTCAAATCCTCGGCCGTTACAGGAGCAGGGACTGGATCTGGTCCCAAAGAGACACAGTCATCCCACAACAGGACCTCACAGCTGATATCCTGAAGAACCCCAACTACCAGCCAGCCCCACCTCTCCTGTGTCTGCACAGGGATCTGGGCCGTAGGCAGGGCGAGGGGCTTCATCCCTGGGACCTTCACCCAGGTCACACAGCCCCTCAGCATTTAAGGCTGCACCACCAGGGGCCTGACAACAGTTCTCTCTCTGTCCCAGGGTCTCGCCACCCCAGGAATGTCTCCCCATTGACCATCACCTTCCGCTCCCACTGGAGGTCCGATGGGTCTGAGCCCAGGAGACTCCATACAGACATATAGTCTATGGCCTTGGGACCCAGCAAGGAAGCTAGACACCAGGGCTTTCCGCAGGGTCCCCCTGGTTCAAATCACCAGCCTGCTCAAAGGCAGTGAGGTGGCATCCACATCCCCCCCTCCTTAACCAGGGGCAGCAATTTAGTCTCTAGGTTCCCCGCAGAGCTGGCACCCTGGGGTCTATCCCCACTCACCCCCGGGGGTCCCTAGGCCTCTCAGCTCCCCACCGCCAGTTCATGCTGCTGCTGCTTCTGCAGCTCTTTCTCGGGCTCTCACTGTCTCTCACAGTCCTCTTGCTCTCTCGGACTCAGCTCCAATCCTGTCCGTCTCCGATCCCCCGATGGGGAACCCGATCGTGAAGACCCCCGTCTGGCCGGGGACAGGAGTCTTGGGGATGCCTGTCTCCCACTCCAGCTGCTCCCAGATCCTGCTATAGCCCCATTTGGGTAAGAATCTCCTGGTCATCCTCCTCCAGCTGCACGATGAACTGTGCTTTGGTGAACTTTCCAATGCTCAACCCTCTCTTTCTGCATCGGGTTACAATGTCCTTCTTAAGGATACGGTGACAGGATCACTCCACTGTTCCCAAGTTGTTGTGGACTCACAGGCCTGTGTGCTCTCAGCGACCCACGGTTTCCAGGCCCCTGTGTTCCAGCCCTTCTCGAGGTCACCTCCTCTTTGCCAGGGTCGAGCTGCAGACTCCTCCGCCCCTTGGACTGCTCGCTGCAATCTCCAGGGGAACCCTGTTACTGCAAAAGTCCTTCTCTCTCCCAGAGCCAAGCTGCAGGCTCCTCCGCCTCCGAGAATGCTCACCGCAGTTCCCAGGGGGACCCCATTACTGCACAGTCCTTCTCGCTGGTCACAAACTCCCAGGTCCACACTGGATCTTTCAACAGGACAGTCAGTGGATCCATTTACAACAGAAAATTTCTGGCTGTTAGGAACTGGAAACTTTCTTGATTAAATCACTTTCACACCCTTCAGTTGCACTTTCCTGAGCAACAACAGACTCTTTCTGGGTCTCCCTTACATCCAGAATTACCTCTGGCCCATCAGGCGGATTCTTACACAATCCCCTCTCAGGCAAACTTACAGACTTCCTAGATAAAAGGTTAGAAGCATTCTCCTTCCCTTTGCCACACACAAGTTCAGGAATCTTTTCCTTCTTGCTACAGGTTTCCACACCCTCAGTAGGTAACACAATCAAATCACCTTCATGCTCTCCTTGTGCCCTGGCTAGGATCTCACCCTGATTAGACAGAGTTGCTCCACCCTTTCCAACAACACACTAGCAACAGGCAAAATACAAGCACCAGAATTGTCTGGTCTTTGGGATTTTGCATAGACACTAACTGGATGCGACCTAGTTACAGGGCCATTCTCCCGAGCAGACACAAACTTAGGACCCTTCCCTTCCTGGACTTTAGCTGAATCCAGAACCAACTCTGAGACAACTGCATTACCCTCAACCATCACAGGCTGAAAGGCCCCTTCTGTCTGCTCCACAGACAAAGAGGAGCCGGACACACTTTCTCCTTCCCCAGACACCCAGCTTGGGATCTCTTTCCCCTGGTCCCAGCACACGAGGCTGGTCACAGGCAACTGCTTGGAGACTGGGGTGGCTCCCTCCATAGGCAAGTCAATACCCCTGACAGACACAGGCACATTTCCTTCACTGTCACAATTCTCAACCCAGCTAACAGGTAAGGTCCAGGGACACTCATCTTCCACTCTCCTCGCCTTCCCACCCTGCTGACTAGACACAGCCATCAGCTCACAAGGCTGCCTAGGCTCATCCAGACTTTCCTTACCAAGCACCTTGCCACTCCCAACAGATCCCCTGCTGCTCTTCTCACTACCCTGAGCTACTTCCAGCAAATCGCAGTTACCCTTCTCAGGTTCCCTTTGACAAGCTGTGCTCTCAAAGCTCTGTTTTCCTTCCCTTACCAACCTCTGCTTCCACAAGGCACTAGATGTTCAAATCACTGAGAGACGACAAGTCCTATCCTAAGTGTCTAGAGATGAGACTAGACCTGCCATCCCCTGCATTCTCGAGAGATTAACTACCCAGCTGTTCTGCTCTGCAGACTCAGCTCTCCAGTCTTCCCTCTCACTGGCTGGGCCTGGGGTCACAGCCCCACTGAGCCCTGTCCCCCGGTAGCTCCATCCTTGTCATGGACTCACTTCCCAGCAGTGCCTCTGGACCAGGCAAACCTGGTTGGCAGCCGACTTGCCCTGCTTGTGGATCCCCCCACTCAGCTGGGGTCTCAGCTCCCACTGTGCTCAGCGCTGCCCTTGCTTCCCAGTGTGGGCAGGCAGCGAGCTCCCTGCTTTCCTCACTGCATCAGAGCCAGCGTGAGCCCCCTCTCCGGTGTGCAAGGGGGCGGGGAGCATCTCTCTGTCCCACCCAGCCCCAGGGGTCTGGTTACAGGCAGGCAGGTATCCTGAGCTTAGCCTCTCCTCCCCCCTGCCAGCCAGGTCATTTGCATTTTCACTGACAATTTCCATCTTAGTCAATTGGTTCCCTGGATTCAAATTCAAATCCTCGGCCGTTACAGGAGCAGGGACTGGATCTGGTCCCAAAGAGACACAGTCATCCCACAACAGGACCTCACAGCTGATATCCTGAAGAACCCCAACTACCAGCCAGCCCCACCTCTCCTGTGTCTGCACAGGGATCTGGGCCGTAGGCAGGGCGAGGGGCTTCATCCCTGGGACCTTCACCCAGGTCACACAGCCCCTCAGCATTTAAGGCTGCACCACCAGGGGCCTGACAACAGTTCTCTCTGTCCCAGGGTCTCGCCACCCCAGGAATGTCTCCCCATTGACCATCACCTTCCGCTCCCACTGGAGGTCCGATGGGTCTGAGCCCAGGAGACTCCATACAGACATATAGTCTATGGCCTTGGGACCCAGCAAGGAAGCTAGACACCAGGGCTTTTCCGCAGGGTCCCCCTGGTTCAAATCACCAGCCTGCTCAAAGGCAGTGAGGTGGCATCCACATCCCCCCCTCCTTAACCAGGGGCAGCAATTTAGTCTCTAGGTTCCCCGCAGAGCTGGCACCCTGGGGTCTATCCCCACTCACCCCCGGGGGGTCCCCTAGGCCTCTCAGCTCCCCACCGCCAGTTCATGCTGCTGCTGCTTCTGCAGCTCTTTCTCGGGCTCTCACTGTCTCTCACAGTCCTCTTGCTCTCTCGGACTCAGCTCCAATCCTGTCCGTCTCCGATCCCCCGATGGGGAACCCGATCGTGAAGACCCCCGTCTGGCCGGGGACAGGAGTCTTGGGGATGCCTGTCTCCCACTCCAGCTGCTCCCAGATCCTGCTATAGCCCCATTTGGGTAAGAATCTCCTGGTCATCCTCCTCCAGCTGCACGATGAACTGTGCTTTGGTGAACTTTCCAATGCTCAACCCTCTCTTTCTGCATCGGGTTACAATGTCCTTCTTAAGGATACGGTGACAGGATCACTCCACTGTTCCCAAGTTGTTGTGGACTCACAGGCCTGTGTGCTCTCAGCGACCCACGGTTTCCAGGCCCCTGTGTTCCAGCCCTTCTCGAGGTCACCTCCTCTTTGCCAGGGTCGAGCTGCAGACTCCTCCGCCCCTTGGACTGCTCGCTGCAATCTCCAGGGGAACCCTGTTACTGCAAAAGTCCTTCTCTCTCCCAGAGCCAAGCTGCAGGCTCCTCCGCCTCCGAGAATGCTCACCGCAGTTCCCAGGGGGACCCCATTACTGCACAGTCCTTCTCGCTGGTCACAAACTCCCAGGGGTTAACTGCCCCCCGAAACCGCCCCTCTCTGAGCCTTCAGCACGCCTGGTCCTTGTCAATCCCCCTTCGTTTTACTGCTCCTCAGTCAGTTACTGCAGGAAGCGCCATCCACGGGGTGCAGTACATCCCACCTCTGCCACCAGTTGTCACGGAGTCCTCAGGCGATGCTCGGGAACTGCTCCCTATGAAGTCAGGCAGGACTCTGGTGAAGTCTCCTCTCTGATAGCAGCCCATCTCCAGGGCAAGAAGCTCACACAGCTTCCACCTTCCTGGGTCTGACCTTGGAGCATTCAGCATCCTCTGCCCCTCCCTGTGCTTTCCACAGTGAGTCCGCCCAGGCGGGGTCCTGGGGAAGCCAGAGGGTCCTGCCCCCCAACTTCACAGTCAGATGTGACTCTCAGCCAGCCAGTAAAACAGAGGTTTATTAGATGACAGGAACATGGTCTAAACCAGAGCTTGTAGGTGCAGAGAACAGGACTCCTCAGCTGGGTCCATTTTGGGGGCAGTGAGCCAGAGAACCCCGTCTGCACTTCACTCCTCGTCCCCAGCCAGCCCCCAAACTGAAACTCCCTCCAGCCCCTGCCCCCCTGGGCTTTGTCCCTTTCCCGGGCCAGGAGGTCACCTGATTCCTTTGTTTTCCAACCCCTTTAGCTCTCACCTTGCAGGGGGGAAGGGCCCAGGCCATCAGTTGTCAGGAAACAGGATGTCGGCCATTCTCTGTGTCCAGACCCCTGCACACACCTGCCCTTTAGGGCTCTGCAATGATCATACACCCTTACCCCACCACCTAGATACTTAAGAACTGCCTAGGGGAAACTGAGGCACCCCCACAATATTCAGAGAAAACATTAAGAACAGTCCCACTTCGTCACAGCAACTTGTCTGCAGTGCCCCATGCCCCCCATGCCCACAGGGTCCATCACAGCCCAGGGCCCATCCAGTGAGGCAGAGGCTGGGGTCCCTACAGGCCCCTGGTGGGAAAATGACCTGAGAGACCAGCAGTTGGAGGTCCAGGGGGGTGTCTGGTATTAGCAACTGTGTAGCCACAGCTAGAGAAGCTGGCTGAGATCAGGGCGCTGCCCAGACCCCGTCCGAGATCAGGGCCCTGTCGTGCTGGGCGCTGCCCAGACCTGACCAAGATCAGGGGGATGGGGACCCCAACCATGGGAGTGCAGGGGCAGGGAGGGGGACTCCAGCGACGGAGGTGCGAGGCAGGGAGGGGGATCCGCAGGCAGGGGGATCCCAGTGGCAGGTTTAGGGAGGCTGGGGGGGGTCACACAGCAGCACCTGGGTAATGGACTTGTTGGTTTGTTTCCCAGCTGCCGAGGGTGAGGGCGGGAATGGGACATCCAGCACAGAGATTATGAATTTACCCGCCCCTGGCTTCCGGCCCACCCCTGGCTTCCGGCCGTCCAAACAGCCGCTCCACTACTGGATCCGCGACACCAGCCAGAAGGCCTTCTACCTGCGGGACAATAGGCTGGTGGCCGCGAACCTGCAGGGTGAAAATGCCAGCCAGGAAGGTTGGTTGCCCCCAGGGTACCTGCTGGGGGTTCACAGTTAGTGACTTCACGCCACCCTCTTCCCAAAGTCCCCTCCGCACCTGGCTCCGGCCTCCTTGGTCCATTTGGCTCCCGGGCGCTGGGAGACGCCAGGCAGGGCTCTGTCCCCACACAAGGCTCCTGGTAGTTTGCAGCCAGCGATGCCCACCCCAAGGAGCTGAGATAGCAGCAGAGCCAGGTGCCCCCTACCCCACTCGCTTTGCTGGTCTCCCAGTCTCTTTCCAGTGGCTGGCACGTTGCACACTAATGGAACAGCTGCTCAGGGGAACCCTTTGCAACAAGCGTTATTGGTCCTACAACCCCAGGAAGGGCGGACCATGGTCCTGAGCCCCCACCCAGACCCTCCACTGTTCCTAGGGCCAGTGGGAAATCAGGTCCCAGCCTGGGGAAATTCCCACCTTTTGAATTTCGTTTCCATCCCGAGTTGGGGTGAACAGTCCAAATCTTGCCCAGCGGGGAGGGGCAGGTTGGGAACGGGGGGAAGTTTGGTGTCACTTTGCCCGGAGGGATTGAACCGCGACTGCCCTAGCTGCTGTAGGGCCTCGTGGGGGCTGTAGTTCACTCGCCTCATTCTCCTCTTCTCCTCTCTGGGCCAAGCTCTCCAGTTGGACTACAGCTCCCAAGATGCACTGCCATGCAAGACCCATGATTCTACCACGGTGCATCCTGGGAGATGTAGTCCAGCCAGGGAGCCTAGCCCCTGGAGGACAATGGGGCCACAAGGCAGTGAGGGGGGACCAGGAGCAACCCATGCTGGGAGGTCAGTGACCTGGCCTGCAGGAGGCCCTGGCCGTGCTTTGATCACATTTCCCCCTCCCGATCTCCCTCTGCAGAAAAGGTCAGCGTGGTCCCCAACAGGGGGCTGGAGCGCAAGAGGTGTCCCCTGATCCTGGGCATCAAAGGCGGCAGGCAGGGCCTGTCGTGTGGAATAGCCAAGCAGCCCCGGCTGCAGCTGGAGGTGAGTGCCATGCCAGGGACCCCCTGCCGGCCCCTCCTTGAGTCTCTGCTACGGGGTTCTCAAAGCCCTGCTCAGAGCCAGGGCTGGACCAGGGCGTAGGCCCTACCAGCCAGCATCTGGAGCCCACCTCCTGGGGTCACGGGAGTGCCCCACACTCTCAGCATTCATCACAGAAAAGTTTCAGAGTAGCAGCTGTGTTAGTCTGTATTCACAAAAAGAAAAGGAGTACTTGTGGCACCTTAGAGACTAACCAATTTATTTGAGCATAAGCTTTCATGAGCTACAGCTCACTTCATCGGATGCATTCATGAATGCATCCAATGAAGTGGGCTGTAGCTCACGAAAGCTTATGCTCAAATAAATTTGTTAGTCTCTCAGGTGCCACAAGTCCTCCTGTTCTTATCACAGAAAAGGTTCATCTCCAGCCATCCTGGCTGTGCAGAATGGAACTGAAGCAGAGCCAATGCCTGAGTTTGCAGAGAGCCTGAGCCCACAGGTCAGAGAGGAGGGAACAGCCCTGGCCTCTCAATGGGCCTGGCTGGGTTTTGGCCAGTAGGCCCCAATCCCCCTCCCTAGTCAATACAAATAGTCACCCCTGGGGCCCAGCTCAGCCTCCCAGCCCCACACTCATCCCGGCGCCGAGGGCGTTGTGTCCGGCTGTCCCACGGCATCGCTCGTTCTAACCTCTTCCCCGCGCCCTCCCCTCGCAGGACGTGCACCTCACCGAGCTCTTCGACAAGTATGAGGAGGCCAAGCGCTTCACCTTCTTCAAGACCTACAACGGCAGCACGCACCGCTTCGAGGCGGCTGCCTACCCAGGCTGGTTCCTCTGCACCTCAGCCCAGGCCAACGAGCCCATCGGCCTCACCGCCCGCCTGGGGGAAGCTGCTATCACCGACTTCTATTTCAAGCGCAAATAGGCCCCGGGTGGGGGCCGGGCAGCAGGAGCCAGAAACCAGCCCTACCCTTGGGGCACGGTGCTGCTTCAGCCCTGCCCTCTCAGTGGCTAGCCGTGGGGGGGGGGTTAGAGCTACCCACCCCCAATGGGAACCCCAGGAGGGCATGGCAGCCTCAGTTTCCCTGTCTTCCCTGGGCCTGTTAGCTCTTTGACTGGCCGGTGCCTGATCCCCTGGCGTAGCACTGACCAGTACATGCGACGGGGCTCAGTTTGTCTCCCGGCCCCAGCGCCTTCCCGGGGTTGAAGTCTTAGCTGGCATGGGAAGCAAGCGACTGATTTGTACCGGATCCACTTCTCAGGGCGCACGAGGCCTGGCCCAGCTTTGCTCCCGGTCCCGTTAGAGGGGCTGACGGAGTACTGCTGATGGGAAGAGATCTTGGATTCTAGCCTGAGGCCTGTGTACCTGGCCCGGCCAGTGGGGGTCAATGCACCCAGCCAGCAGAGAACCAGGGTCACTTGTAGCTGGAAGGACCTTTGGGGGTCGTCTGCTTCAGCTGCTGCCCTGAGGCAGGATCGAGTCTGACGGGTTTCTCCAGCCTGCTCTTAACCCTCTGGTGCAGGGGGTCCCACAGCCTGTAACCACTGGGGACCTGCTCCGGCACTGGGCCAGCTGCGGTGCTAGGAACTGTCACTCTTGTGTGGCTGATTTTGGATGCAGCTGCCCCCTGGGGTTACCCTTGCTAACCCCCTGTCCCCCCCCAAAAAAATTGCTAGGGCCAGAAGAGGCTGGCGTGTGGGTCCTTGGGGGCCGTATTCGAGGCACAAGAGGCTAAGTGGCAGGGCCTGGAGGAGTTGGAGCATATGGGGTTCATTTCGGTCTCTTGCTTCATACCAGCCCCCAACCCCCATCTGTGGGTCTGGCTTTCCCCTCTCTTTGTACAGGCTGTTTTGAGAAATAAAACGGCTCTAAATGCCCAGGGAATCGCTGCCAAACACACGAGTGCCAGGCGGGGCGGGGGGAGGGGGTGCGGAATTCGGCTGAGTGTGTGGTCGACATTTGAAAATGGGGGATGGGGGTGAACCAATGGGCAGTGGGCTGGAGGAGGGAAATCCAGGGTCAGTGGCTGGTCAGGCAGCGGGTGGCTGGGGGGTAACTGGATGGGGGGACCCCAGGAACCGAAGGGGGCCGGGGATGCAGGAGGTAACGGTGGGGGGCAGTGTAAGCGGGACTGGGGATCCATGGGGGAGGGCCGGATCCCCCAGCTCCATATACACAGCTGTACGAGCCAGGCTCCCTGGCTGTCTCCGGGCCTCTCTCCAGGTCTCTGGGCAGAGAGAAGGGGCAGGAGGGTGCTCCTGGCGGCAAGGCAGGTGTCCCGGACTCCCGGGCCCCGTGCTCTCTCAGCTCCATATGGCCTGTCAGTCTGACAGCCCTCCCCCGGGGGTTCACTCTCGGGGATTAAACCCCACTTCCTGGCCCGCACCTCTCTGAGCCATCAGCACACCTGGCTCTGCCGTGGGCCCCCGGGGCTGCCACACCCAGGGGAGCAATGCCCCCCGATCTCTAGCCTGCCGTGACAGGTGGGTTCATTGTATGTCTGAACACAGCACAGGCTGTCCTCAGGGGCCTCAGGGGCCTGGCCAGTCTTAGCCCCGTCCATGTGTCCCCATTCCCATGGCCTCCCGCTGCTCTTTGTCCCCAGTCCAGCAGCCCCCTCCTCCGCCCTTTGTCTTTGTTCCTGGGCAAAGAGATCATCTGGGCCCTCTCTCTTCCCTCCTTACACCCCTGGCCTGGTGCCCCATGCCCAGACACCCCCCTGCAGCTGTCCCTCCCCATCATGCGCTGGCTGGGCAGACAGCAGTGCTGAGTCACCAGGAGGCACCAGGGTTCTGTGTGCCCAGGCAGGGCCGCCCAGGGGATTCAGGGGGCTTGGGGTCTTCGGCGGTGGGGATCCTTCCGCTCCGGGTCTTCGGGGCACTTCGCTGGAGACATGGAGTGGAAGAAGCAGTGGTGGGTCCTTCACGCCGGGTGTGTTCAGTGGCACTGAAGGACCTGCCACTGCCGATGTGCCACCGAAAACTCTCGTGGGGGCCCCAGCGGGGCCCAGGGCCTGGGGAAAATTGCCCCATTGCCCCTGCGATCGGCAGGCCACAGGGATGGCGCCGGGAGCCTGGCTGGGAGCAGAGCTCAGGGGGCCAGTTTCTGTCCCAGGCTCTGGGGCCAGACCAATGGGCCAGACTGTGGCCCTGGCTGGAGGTGCTGCCTGTGTCCCTCTGCCCCAGGCTGTGTCTCCCCCAGCTTTGATTTCCTGAACACCAAGACGTGGGCTTCCCTCGGCCAGGGTCTGGGCCTCCAGCTCTTCAGGTCAATGAGCATCCGCCCCACTGAGCGGTGCCCTCCCAGGCTGCCTCCCAAAAATGCCATTGGCCTTCTTGGCAACAAGGGCACACTGTTGACTCCTATCCAGCTTCTCGTCCCCTATAACCCCTAGGTCCTTTGCTGCTGAGCCATTTGGTCCCTAGTCTGTAGCAGTGCATGGGATTCTTCCATCCTAAGTGCAGGACTCTGCACTTGTCCTTGTTGAACCTCATCAGATTTCCTTTGGTCCAATCCTCCAATTTGTCTATGTCCCCCTGTATTCTGTCCCTACCCTCCAGCGTATCTACCTCTCCTCCCAGTTTAGTGTCATCCGCAAACTTGCTGAGGGTGCAATCCACGCCGTCCTCCAGATCATTTATGAAGATATTGAACAAAACCGGCTCCAAGACCGACCCTTGGGGCACTCCGCTAGATACCGGCTGCCAACTAGACATGGAGCCATTGATCACTACCTGTTCAGCCCAACAATCTAGCCAACTTTCTACCCACCTTGTAGTGCATCCATCCAGCCCATACTTCTTTAACTTCCTAGCAAGAATACTGTGGGAAACCGTGTCACAAGCTTTGCTAAAGTCAAGGAACAACACGTCCATCACTTTCCCTTCATCCACAGAGCCAGTTATCTCGTCATAGAAGGCAATTAGATTAGTCAGGCATGACTTGCCTTTGGTGAATCCATGCTGACTGTTCCTGATCACTTTCCTCTCCTCTAAGTGCTTCAGAATTGATTCCTTGAGGACCTGCTCCATGATTTTTCCAGGGACTGAGGTGAGGCTGACTGGCCTGTAGTTCCCAGGATCCTCCTTCTTCCCTTTTTTAAAGATGGGCCCTACATTAGCCTTTTTCCAGTCATCTGGGACTTCCCCAGATTGCCATGAGTTTTCAAAGATAATGGCCAATGGCTCTGCAATCACATCCGCCAACTCCTTTAGCACTCTCCAATGCAACGCATCTGACCCCATGGACTTGTGCACGTCCAGCTTTTCTAAATAGTCCCTAACCACTTCTTTCTCCACAGGGGGCTGGTCACCTCCTCCCCATGCTGTGCTGCCCAGTGCAGCAGTCTGGGAGCTGACCTTGTTCGTGAAGACAGAGGCAAAAAAAGCATTGAGTACATTAGCTTTTTCCACATCCTCTCTCACTAGGTTGCCTCCCTCATTCAGTAAGGGGCCCACACTTTCCTTGACTTTCTTCTTGTTGCTAACATACCTGAAGAAACCCTTCTTGTTACTCTTAACATCCCTTGCTAACTGCAACTCCAATTGTGATTTGGCCTTCCTGATTTCACTCCTGCATGCCTGAGCAATATTTTTATACTCATCCCTGGTCATCTGTCCAATTTTCCACTTCTTGTAAGCTTCTTTTTTGTGTTTAAGATCAGCAAGGATTTCACTGTTAAGCCAAGCTGGTCGTCTGCCATATTTACTATTCTTTCTACACATTGGGATGGTTTGTCCCTGTAACCTCAATAATGATTCTTTAAAATACAGCCAGCTCTCCTGGACTCCTTTCCCCCTCATGTTATTCTCCCAGGGGCACTTGCCCATGAGCTCCCTGAGGGAGTCAAAGTCTGCTTTTCTGAAGTCCAGGGTCCGTATTCTGCTGCTTTCCTTTCTTCCTTGTGTCAGGACCCTGAACTTGACCATCTCATGGTCACTGCCTCCCAGGTTCCCATCCACTTTTGCTTCCCCTACTAATTCTTCCCGGTTTGTGAGCAGCAGGTCAAGAAGAGCTCTGCCCCTAGTTGGTTCCTCCAGTACTTGCACCAGGAAATTGTCCCCTACACTTTCCAAAAACTTCCTGGATTGTCTGTGCACCGCTGTATCGCTCTCCCAGAAGATATCAGGGTGGTTGAAGTCTCCCATGAGAACCAGGGCGTGCAATCTAGTAACTTCTGCGAGTTGCAAGAAGAAAGCCTCGTCCACCTCATCCCCCTGGTCCGGTGGTCTATAGCAGACTCCCACCATGACATCACACTTGTTGCTCACACTTCTAAACTTAATCCAGAGACACTCAGGTTTTTCTGCAGTTTCGTACCGGAGCTCTGAGCAGTCATACTGCTCCCTTACATACAGTGCAACTCCCCCACTTTTTCTGTCCTGCCTGTCCTTCCTGAACAGCTTATATCCATCCATGACAGTACTCCAGTCATGTGAGTTATCCCACCAAGTCTCTGTTATTCCGATCACGTCATAGTTCCTTGACTTGACCTTGACCTTGACCATCACCATCATAATTCCTTGACCTTGGCTTGGCCCGTTGCTTTAATGGCCTGCTGGGGTCAGCTTACCACTTCTTTGGGCCTCTGCATGGCATGGCCAGGAGACCTTCCCCACAGGCCCTGCCTGTGGCTCCAGACTTGGCATCCTTGGCACTCTGCAGAGAGCTGGGGGTCTCCAGGCAACCCTTGCACCAATCTGTAGGGAGGGGATCCCTCAAGGGCAGCAAGTTCCTTCCCTACCCTGGGTGCACGAGCCTGTGATAGCTGTGGGACACTCTGCTTCTGTGACCTTAGCAGCTCTGTGGGGCAGGACCAGCTCTCTCTTCTGCTTTGGACCGCACCTGGCACAACGCCTGGGCTATGGCTCGTGCTCTCATGTGCCGTGGTGACACAATGCTATATCACAGCTGTCGGGCAGGCTCCTCACCGTCCTGCAAAGGGCCCCCTGGTCGCAGCCCAAGGTGGAGCTGCACAAAGCAGGCATGTGCCCAAGGTTGGAGATGCCCAGCCAGCAGGCCCCTGGAGCTGATGCTGTGTCATTTGCTCTGGTGCTCCGTGAGCGGCTTTGCTTCCCAAAGCCCAGGGCTCAGCTCTCCCTTGTGCTGCTGCTAGGCTGGGGGATCCATCTAGGCTGGATATTAGGAAACACTGTTTCACTAGGAGGGTGGTGAAGCACTGGAATGGGTTACCTAGGGAGGTGGTAGAATCTCCATCCTTAGAGGTTTTTAAGGCCTGGCTTGACAAAGCCCTGGCTGGGATGATTTAGTTGGCGTTGTGATGTTACACTCCAGGTTCTTTATGGCAATATGTTTATGAGATGGATATGACAGAACTGAGATGTACTTTATGCAAGATGGCTTCTGTGAGGTATCATTGGAAAGGTTCTGATTTATTGAATGTGATTATCCAATGTGTATGCATGTATCGTTTCTGTATCTGACCATGCCTCTGTATTTCAAATGTGCTACATTGGAAGAGGCCAAACAATGTTAATGGCTTACTGGGGAAATGCACACAAGCATAAGGATTACCTCAGGAACAGCAAACACTAGAAACCTCTCAGAGATAGCCCTGCACAATGGGAACTGTTTGACCCAGGTCAGAGCAAAAAAGCTTTCCAGCAAGTTGTGGGGAAGATATAAGAGAGGGACAATGACAACATGAGGTGGCCTCACTCTCCCTACAACAAAACACCGGAAAACACCTGAGAAACAAAGACTGAACTATGAGAAGTGCTGGTCCCAGACTAAGATCTTTAGCCTGTGTATGAAAACCTGGGAAAGCCAAGGCAGCTTGTGCCTTAAGACTCTGCCAGCCTGTTTATCACTCAGGGTGAGAATTTGCTAATTTGTATCCTGCCTATTGAGTGTGTCAAGCTCCGTTTGCATGTT